CCCCAAAACCCCAAAACCCCAAAACCCCAAAACCCCGTTATTAACATGTATTATTGAATTTCATAAGAAATCATCACTTCTATCTTTGCTTTGAATAACTCTTTTCAAAGTCAGAAGCCTTCAGAATAATCGGAGTATGGCCTGAGGTAATCTCAATTGTTCTATTAAGCTTCTTTAAAGCCTTCCTTCGCTTAGCATGTAAACTAAAGTTAGAGGGTTAAGATACCTTTCAGTTTGAGTTTTGAGGGCCTTCACAATGCTTGATTTCTGGTTTTCCCTTTCATAGCCTCTTGGGAACACAATTTTACTGGTATCCTGAGCGAATGATGTACGGGAAAGCTTAAGACTAAGCTTATTTCTATATTAAAAGCATTAAAAAGTCCTTGTAGACTACTGTATTTTATAAACGTACTATATTATCCCTTCTGGTAGCATAGCTATTGTAAATGAGACTATGACTCTTCTGGGCATCATTCTCAATATTTCTGGAGGATTTGATGAGGAAGAAATTCTTGAGCTGGCATTTCTTAGTCTTTGGTTCGAACATCCTCATGGATTTAGCCAAGTGGTACTGGATATTTACTAATTCATTGTCTGATGAACCCTCCAATTGTTTTGATTGTTCTAAAGTTAAACAAGAATTTACCTTTGAGCAGAGGATTAAATAGCTCCATTTTACGTTTGAGGTACTTTCTTTCTGTGACTATAGAGTCCTAGAAGGTTTTCATAAGGAAATTACCTGTCGAAATGTCTTTTCTTGTGAATGATTTTGAAGTTTTGTGCAGGTTGTTATTAGTACTTTTGGGATATCTTTTCCATTGTTGTGCAACTTCATCTTTTGTGGAACTATATCATTCAGAAGTTTATCTTAAGAATCTTAATAAAAGCCCACTTCCAGAGCTCAGACTGCTTAACTACAAGTCTAAGTAAACCGGCTGCTTACATCTTCTATTAATCCTTCTATTGCAACTCTTTAGCCTTCTCGGGCTCTGCTTTCTTCGGCAACTTATTGGCTTAAACCCTGACACCTCCTTTGGTTCTCTATCACTGGGCTTTATATGTATACTTGATTGTTGGAATTAGAGGTATTTAGTGGCTTGGTCTTCCTTTTGATAGGAGTCTTGTTGACATATCTGGGAGGTTAAAAGAAGTTTACAAGGGGTCAGCAGTTGTTGAGCTATAAATCTGATCAGAAATTATATCTTAGGAGCAATAAGATACCATTCCAAGGAACTTTAGAAACTATTAGTCCTTATCCGACGAACTTACAGTTGGAATTTTTGAGATTTCTTCTTACGCTTGGAAGGCAAGCGGGGAAATTTAGGAGCAGACTTTTGGATTTGGTGGGAGAGATGTGGGGTTTTGAGGATAAGGTGTCTTGGGCTGAATTTGTTGAGGATTGAAGAGGAGATAACAGACCATGGGTTTTGAGTCGTCTGGGAGAAATTAACCATTACAGGATAATCATATTTTTGTTCCTAAAGGTTTAATAGATGTTTACCAGTAAGTGCTTCTTGAATTCTACTGGATCCTTTGTTACAGAGCTTGTATTCTCTCCTATAAGGTCAGTTATACGCTTTAACCTTTCTTACTTTGAGTTATGCTCATTATCAATATTCTAAAAATTTCAATATTAATTTTGATTGAAGGGGTTTTGGGGTTTTGGGGTTTTGGGGTTTTGGGG